TTGTCAATGGGTGGAGAAAGATTTTCCAAAGATGGATATTTTCCCCTTGTCCCCCGGTGTTTTTAATTCTAATTTCGTTGGAATTGATCAAAACTCCCTAAAATGTGCATTTTTTTAGAGGAAACTGGGCCATGTTAACAAGAAATGCGCGCGAAATTTGAGGTTTTTAGGCACTTTCAGGGGATGAAAGGGCATTTATAAAGGGGTGGTGAAGATTTTTCAAAGATAGATATTTTCCCCCTGTCCCCCAGTGGTTACGCCATCGAGCAGCATAGATCAAAGGAGTTATGACAGTTTCTGAAGTGGAGAAGGGGTTGCAGGGTGTTGTGAGTCTGGTCATTATGATATCTTCCTTTTTATTCTTGTCTTTATTTTTCTCTTCTCTTTTTCTTTTCTTTCCTTTTCTTTTCTTCTTTTTTTTTTTTCCCTCCCTCTCCCCTCTTTCTTTTCTCTTATTACCCAGCCCGGTACGACGGCTTGGTCAGCCCGGTAAAAACCCTCAGGGGAGGGGCAGTTTCCCCCCTCCCCTCCGCGCCTGATACGACACTGGCTAACACGCCAACCATCCCCCCCAATGAAAAATATTTTTCTACGCCACTGCCCCATACTTTTAGAGTTTCTGATTGGATCATAGAGAAATTCTTTCTCTATGATTTAGTAACTTGTTTACCAAAAAACTACTAATTAAGATGTATCACAAACTTCAGAGCTTAGGCTCAAAACTGACAATACAAAGTCCATTTATATTTTTATTAGATTATCTGTATACTCAAGTTGACCATTAAAACTGTCAATCCAATTTAAGGCATTTATCAGGTGAAGGGTATCGATTCCAATGGTTATGCAAGTTAATACCATTGAACCTTAATACTACATTACATCATGTACGTACAAAATGTTTCGATCTGTAATCAATCTGTAAACAAATCGATCTTTAATCAACCAGGGCCAAGAAGACTATGATGAGAAATAAAATATATTCAATTTTTTATAGGCCTATAGTTTTTTAGTACAAAAAGTCTGAAAATTATACATTGATTTCTCTTTATTTCGAAACACTTGCCTGATCAAATACTAAAACTGAGTGAAACATACTAGAATTGACGAATGAACGCTATAATTGACCAACGCTGTATCGTACCGTATCCCAATCAATCGGTATAGCGCTACTGGCGTTCCATACATTTAGCCCCCAATGCTATCTTACGGTGATCGCTAGCGCATGTGCGATAGCGTAATTCCTCGCGGGGGAAAGTCTTGAACTGAGCGAACCGCAACGCTAGTTCTAGCCTAGCCCTATTTGGCCCAGAGAAAAGACACACAGGCTTGGTAGATGCCAACCTATGCAGCGGGGTAGCTAAGAATAGCGTAAATATTATTTGTAGGCCTACATGCATATTTGTTTATCACAGCTCCCTGGTCTGGGGTGGCAGTATAAAAAATGAATTTTGTAAAACAAAAATTAAACATGAAAAATTAATTTATGTGCCCCAAACTATATATAAGCCTCTCTTAAAGGGCTCAGAAGCCGACAAAATTGTTTTCATTTTCAATCTTGTGAACGCGAATCCCCCTGGAATCCCCACTCAATGGCGGGTAGGCCTATTCCTGGAATAGAATTACCAAGTATTTTTATTTGATTACTAATACAGTATTACAGTTTATTAATTGGTGTTTTTTCTCTTTATACAGAAGCAACGAAAATGTAAGCCGATTGGTTTGAGACACGTATTGTCATCATTTGTTGCGTTTCCCGGTTATTTTACCATGTTTAAAATGCTTAATAAAATGGAGATTCATGAAATTAGCATGTCATTTGTTATACATGCGATTGTTTACTTGTTTGCTGCCTTTTTACCATGTTCTGATGATGTTTATAATAATACATACAGCCATGGGCTGGAGGGGTAACCGTGCACCCCCCCCCCCCCCCCCCCCCCCCCCGTTAAACTTCCTTGGTATCATTTTGTTCCTACGGGCATATAGAACACGAAAATCGATAAATTGATGTTAACAAAAAAATATAGGGATGCATTGTATGTACTCGCGTCATTTGTAATGGTCGTTAGTGTTTTATGGTCAATACTTTTTGGGGGGAGGGGTAACATTTATGCCCATAACCTGTGATTTC